CGCCCGCCCCCCCGCCGCTCCCGGGGCGCTCCGTAACGCCGCCCCGCTGCCGGCGCCACCAGATCCGGTGACGCGCAGCCCTCCCCCGGGCCGGCCCCCGTGCCGGAGAGGGGCGAGCGGGTGGTGAGGCGGGAGCCGCTTCCCACGGGCAGCGGGAGGGTGAGCTGGGACCACCGGGAGAGCGCGACCTCCGGCGCGCAGGGACAGCGCGGTGCCGGGCGCGGCGCCGGAGCTGCCGAGCCGCCCGGGGGAGGCGGTGTTTCCCCGGGCCGCGGGAGAGCCCGCTCGCCCGGAGTCCGCGGAGCTCTCACCGGTCCTGGGGAGCTGCGGCTGCCCGCTCACCCCGTGCCCGGCAGGAAAGTTATCCGCCCCCCTGCTGCCTCACTCAGCCTCCGCTTTTGCTCATCTGCCCGCTGTGTGACTGGGTTTCGGCTGGCCGCTCGCCAGAGGGAACGTACATCGACCCCCCATGTAGGGAAGAAATTTGGTGCCGGTTCTATCACTTTGCCCGGCTGGCTTGGCGCGGCAGCGGCGCTGCCTTCTCTGCCCCGTCTGCCAGCCTCCAACCCAGAGCACGGCTCTGCGGCGACCAGCGCCACCGGCGCACGGGCAGCGCCGCTCTTCCGGGCTGCCTCGGACAAGGAGGGGGCCAAAGGGAGCCAAAGGAGTGAGGGACAAGCTGCCCTGTGCCTCGCGAAAGCCCTGGCCCTCCCGTTGCGCACGTTCGTGCTTCCAGCAGCGCGCAGGGTGCCCTGCCGGAGATGCCCCGCAGGCACGGCCCTCCCCGTCGGACGGCGCTGCAATGACACGCTCTAACGCAGCTATCAGTCACTTACACAGGCTCACCCGTATATATATATATATATATATATAACGCATAGATATGTAGGTACTCGTATCAACACCCCCCCGCACGCACAGGCGGCCGCCGCGGGGAAGCCGCATCTCCCCGCGGTCGGGGCCGCCAGAAGTCGAGCTGCCACGGCGAAGGCAGGAGGAGAATTAACGCAGCAGGAAAAAGCATCAGGAGAGAGATCCCGAGGGGAGCCGCCGCCGGAGCCGCCTCTGGGCCCCGCTCTCCGCCGCGATGCCGGCAGCCGGGCTCGCCGCCCGCCGGCGCTGCGGGGAGCTGCGGGCAGGGAATCCCCCTGCGCCTCCCGGGTCGGGGAGAGCCCGGCTGTGGGGGGACTTTGCTACATTGAGAGTGCCTGGAGCAGCAATGGTCTCACCCTCATGCTCTGGGACCCCTTCTGCTCTTGGGAATGTTTCTCTGCAGTTAGGCTGAGGATGTCAGGGAGGGTGGTCACAGTTAAAAGTTCGCTAAAAAGGAGATTGAGCTTTGCTTTTCTGTAGGTTCTCTGACAGCCCTTTTCCCTTCAGCTTCTTTAGGCTTCTAGTAATGAAAAGTGGTTTTCACGGGCATCTTACAGTTAAGGAGTTTTCTTCAACCAAACTGGCTCTAACAAAAATGTTTCTTTTCCTTGTGCACTGTTTTTAGAAATATTACCTTCAATAATGTGCAGTGAGCTGAGTGGGGATAGGATTTAAACAGACAGCTTCATGCAAGTTAAATGCAAAGAGAGTTGCTCCGAAGAATGAAGCTAATTGTTGGGTTGATAAATGCATTAGAAAATGCAGTGATAAGTTTCATTCCTAATTGAACAGATTTGTACTTCAGTTCACATCTTGAGATACAGATCTTTATCTTTCATTGTTTTTTAGTATTGAATTGATGTCAACAGTTCTTGATAGCTAGAAACGAACCAAGCTATTTGTCCTGTTGTGGCTGTATTGAAAGATTGAATCATTTGAACTGATAGCTCTCGTGACAAGACTGAAAAAAATAAATTATTAAAACGATACATGTATGAGGGCTGGGATGATTGAAATACATGTCTGATCATTGAAATAAGTGAAATGTAATAAACCAAAAACTAATCAAAGAAGTGAAGTGGGACTGTAACCCTCTTTTCCCATGCCCTGCTGACAAAGTCAACACCCAAGAGAGACGTTTTTAAACAAAGTGGAAACAAGTAATATTTTATGATCTTTCAGTCACTTTGTCTAGAGTCAGTCCCACACTGAAATTCCAACAGGGGCAACTTCCTTAGTTTTCACTATCAAAGTCACCTATAGATTAATCAATACATATCCTGTTCCCCCATCTGTAGGAAGATCTGTCATCTTTCATGGAGACCTCCCACTTCATTCTTTGTGTGGTGATGAAGAGCTCAAGCAAGAAAGGAAGTTTCATTTCACAAGAGGAAGCTGTTCTATTTTAGTACAGTATCTTTCAAACTATTCCTACATTTATTAAAATGCATGTATTAAAATGCATGTTTCATTACCACTAAGAATATGCTGAAGATGAAGCCAGGTGAAAAAAGTGTACAGTGTTTTTTATAATTGTCAACCACATTGTATGAAGTAAGTGCGCGCTCCGGTTTTACACACAATTACTTTTGTTTTGTATTTTTGCTTCAGGTAGCACAAACACAACATAAGATTTTTACATACACAGAAATCAGATATCAGGTAAACTTAAGATGTAGTCAACAACATGAAGCAGCATTTATAGTCAGACCAGATGAGCCAGAACTGTTTTTGTGTAGTATGAACTATGTTAACTAAGAAATTTCACATAATAAGCTGATGGTAGATTGGCATCTGTTTTAGATTCTTCAGCTTCAGCAGCCTGGCAGCACTCAAGTCACCAACAAGAATGGAGTGACAAAGGAGGAACAGCATTAAAAGTTGAAGAAATGGAGGCTAAACACGAAGATAAATTGTCATTGTTTAAAAAAATATGAGAATGAAAGGAAGAATTTTACCCACCAAGCAAGTGAGTGACACTCTTGGTAAAACTGTATTGACTACCTATCTGCAAGAGATCATTTTTCTTCTCTTCTCTTTGCAAAATTACTACAGCATCCATTTTTTTTTTCTTCTGAATGTATAGCTTACTTTGATTGTGGGCAGGGATTCTGACATTTGGCAGCCAAACCCTTGTGCATATATCTGTCACACATAAGCCTCACACTGAAAGTGCTGGGAAATAAAGGGCAGAGAACTCAGGCTTTGAAAAAGTGCATGGGAAAAGAAACTACCAGTTGTAGTGGACAAGTAAGAAGATTTTCCATTCCTGTAGCACATCCTACTGCCTCTGGGAGCACGTCATGGCTGATAGGTTATTAATTGATTCTGTGAGAATCTATTTTCCATATCCACTTTTGGAAAAGATAGCAGTCAAAGTAGCAAATGTAACACCATCAAGGACAGGTGTCACACTTTATACAAAGTGGATCACAAGATCATCTATAAGCTTCTTGGTACTCGCTATATCAAGGGGTTAGTGAGGAGTACATTCCTGATTTCTGATTATATAATTTTGTTTTTAATTTCCATTCACGGAGTGATAATAATCCACAAAAATATGTCCAAAAAAAGTCTATTAACATATTCCTTCTTTTTTTTTCCCAACAATTAGTCCTAAACTAAGCTTCACAAAAATACTCCATTTACCGGTATCTGGCACCCTTATATAAAATAATGTGTCATTTGTCACCATGGCTTGTATTCTGAAAATATGACTGGGGAACTGATGGAGACTAAAATAGCCTTTTACAGTCTGTAGGTGGCCAAAAAATTCTACAGCTATATTCCATAAAATTTCTTGCTGCCATGATTTGTTTCTCAAGAGCTCTTGTCAATCCACTTAAAACTCTCACTCACATGGGCCCAAAAAGAAACATGGGGATTTGTTCAAATTGTAACCAAATACAGTTATACAATAAAATCCCTCTTTTCACATGTAAATAGGATATTAGCAATTCCACAAATTCTACACAAATTTTTGCTTTGAAATTGTGGGCTTTTAAAATCATCTCAAGGCTTGGAGAATTTAAAGCCTTGAAACCTAACAGCAGAGAATCTCAAGCAAAACTGGCAAATTCATAGTCTTAATATCATCACTTAATCCTAAATTTTACACGCAGCCTGTATATCATGTTCAGTACTGTTATTATTTATGGTAGTCTATAAATGGCTTGCATCTCATTAATGGGTACTTCTAACTTAAAAGAGAATTTGGATAAAATTTTAACAATGGATTGCAACTAGTCTCAAGGAAGTTATCAGCATTATCTGCCTTAGTAACTAATGTATTAAAATCAACTATTAAAAATCAAAAGAGACAAGTACCAAATCATAGACTATAAATAATAGGACCTAAGAAAATTATTGATTACATTTTTCTATTTCGTTTTCAACCAAAAAAATTATCTCTGCTTTCTCACAATTATCCTATTTCTTCACCAAAAGGAGATAAAATGTGCATTTAAAAATCAATTGTACACATTTCAAAGTTTGAAAATTGTTTTTTTTCCCATTTGGAAGAAAAATAACTCATAAAAATATAATTTGAAAATAACTAACGTATATTCTGTAGGATTTATGAGTCTTCATAAGAAAACTAAAATATAAAATATTACTAAGGATGGGGAAGGATTTCTTTCTTCACAATTTTTGAAGGGATAGTTAACAGATGAGACAGTGTAGTTCAAATCTGGGATGTGATCTTCAGATAACTTGTTTAAAGCATTTTGAAATATATGTGGGTGCAGCTACAGTTTATAAAAGTGATTGGTATGTTCCTGGCATTAAAGATCATTTGTATATACTTGAGGCAATGTTTGTGGTTGGAAATCTCAGCTCCAGAGTTGAAGCCACTTTGTGAAGTGTGGCTTAGGCACACAATTTCTCTCTTTGCAGATAATCCCTTGCAGATGAGTAAGATGAGTATTGGACATTTTATGAGTATTGGTCTGCCCAGCACCCAGGAGTGTGCCTGTGGGAGGATGAAGAGAGCAAGGACTATTCAATCAGTAAATGCTTTCAGATGGCTCAGGGTTTTTTTCACATTTGTAGCTCCCAGAGACAAAGGATAAAAAGA